TTTATTCTGTAATACTAACGGAGGTCCTATTGTCTTTAAGCGCAGCTTACCGGAACTGGCTGTGACCAACTAAATCATTTTGTTGAGTGTATCCCCACTTCCTAACACTATGATGTCTAGAACAACTCAACTCATCCTTCAAGCAGTTCAGTAATTGAATAAACCAATCAGACTCGAAACGAAGGTAAGGGATTTTACACAGAAATGATGATGGTCAGTTTGGAGCGTTTATATTTGACGTAGTTCCGACATTCCATAGTTGTGCTATGGCAGATCCATGTACATATACTTTCCTGGGGGAACTAAACAGACTTTGATAACAGGGTATGAAGTTCAGTGGTGCTAAGGCATAGAGCAATTGCCTGAAGTTCCAGAAAAATCATAAAGGATGTTGATTAACTACTGATTTTGAACCATGACCCATTCATCAACTAGCAGAAATGAGAAATGAAAGTACACATAGTTTAGATAACCTTCAGGTAGTAGTTTCTAGCGTCCACGAGTTAACAAAACGGATGAATTTGAGGTCAGAAGAAGGAATTCTACCAACGGACTTTAAATGAAGGTATCTTCTGGATTCCGATAACGCTAGATTAATAAGGTCCCTAAGAATAATGTTGTCAGTCCTGATGCTTATTCATAATTACAGTTGTGAAATCGCTGTTGAAGGTTGACTTCTTGTGATGTCGATTCTTCCCTGGAATAGGATAGAGAACTCATTCGTCTATGAAAATAACTAATATTCTTTTATTCAAGTGTTACGGCAGCAGCATGTAGTATTTACTTATAACACACCACCGCTGTGACGTTTTCTTCGTTTAATTGAAGTTTGGAATATCTGGTATCGTGAATCTTCCGGCTTTATAAGTGGGCCATCTTAACGTTGGACTTTCAGTAGCATTGTTTCCTAACAGTTTGCAGACTTCAGGAGACTTTGATACTCGAGGAAATTCCTTTGATAAATAATAATTATGTACATAAGCTTCATATTTAGTTACCGTATTCCTTTGGTATTGGCGTTACCTGATCTATTTTCGTGAATCTGTAATCTCTCAGTCGTCCCAGAGCCTAGAAACATAGACCTGACGGTAAGAGTAACTAAGTTGAACAACATCATGGAGTTATTTACGTTTCAGAATTTGTAGGTATTGTATTTATAATAGGAAGAAGATATACGAACAGACATACGAAAATACCAACAAAATTAGATTCCATAAGACAGACAACGAGACGAAATAGGAATATTCGTCAAGGAAAACATAAATTGAAGAAGTTTCCCCCATACTTGCACGGGGACATCATAATGAACTTTACATCAAGTCCTGAGTGACAAGATCCAGGTGTTGCTATGAAAGTTTGACTTGGCGATTTCAAACAAACTGCATATTGGAAAGGCTGTTATTAATAAAAATAACACATTTTTAAAAGCGCAACGAGTAGGGAAACTAAATTTTCAAAGTTTCTGACGTTTTGCGACTCAATATAATCCATCTCTACAGAGGATAAGCAAACAAATAAAATTGGCTCAAGTTTAACCACTTACGCCTATTACCCTTCGCACAGGGGCAGAAGCAGCCAACCAGCATTCTCAAGTCAACTCTGTCCTTGGCAGTCGTTTCCAATTGTTTCCGGCTGCTACTCTTTTTTATACCTGTAATGTGTTCCTTGGTCTTCTTCATTTCCGTTTTGCGCCAGGATTCCACGGTAGCACTTGTTTCGCGATATAGCTTGCTGAGTTCCGAAAAGTATGCTCTCATGACCTTCAAAACCTATTCCTGAACTCCTCTTCAGCTGGAATCTGTTTTTTCTCCACCACGGGCTGTTATTGATGGTAGGCCGTCAAGGGACAACGAGCATCTTGCGTATACAATTACTCATAAATATTTATATCTTTTTGATGATGGTTGTAGTAGTTCCCCATAGCTAACCCAAGTTTAAATTGTACAAAAGAACAAAGCATAAATATTTGGCAGTTGGTTGTTTTATACCGTTTCCGCTTGAGTTTATTTTATTTGTTTATTTGTTCTCTAAAGAAATGCATTATACTGAATCACGAAATTTCAGAAAATTTAGAAATACTATTTTTCTACTCATTGGGACATTATAAAATCACTTCAAACGAGTACATTGGGCATATAGATTACAGTCGTTTGCCGTTTTCGATGACCTGAATTATTGTATGATGAAGCAAGAGTTAAGAATCAGTCTATTCAGAACCATATCCGAAGGCATCTTCGCTTCCTAGGATTGTGCTTGGCTGATTACATGACATAAGTAGGCACAACATTCTAGGTGCCTCTCGTCACTTCAGTGTAACCCTCCAACTCGAACTCCAGCACCGCATTTCACGCGATAACCTGGGGAGAATCGAGAGCTAAAGCGCCAGTACTCAGGCATGATCACAATTTCTCCAAATAGGAGTAGGTCTTTTTCAGGATTCCATCATTGCTATCATCACAATTTCTAATATTACTACTACTATTCTTAGTAGACATCCAAAACATGGCGATCTCAAACTAGGAACCAGGAGCTGATAGTATCGAAATTTCTTTGTTTTCAAACGGTGGAAAAAGTTAAATAGGGGTTGAGACAGGTAAGTACATACGATACGGCTTGGTAGAAGGTCAAGTGTGTACATAATAGTTTATCGGTTTTGATGAATTTTTACGTGCTGTAAGCCCGTCTAACACTAGAAAACATCCAGTTGGAGACATCTTCCGAAAAATCACTGATGACACAGAGTACGACAATTGTGCGCTGAAGGATTCATTCCTTCATATTCATCTTAGATAAGCACATTTCCTTATTATGAGAGGATTCAGTCTTCCTGAAACCAACTTCACTGGATACACGTTTGGTAAAAGTAACAACTCACCGAAACCCAGTTCTTCAACTTCACTGAAGATTTGTGACAATTTAAAAACGCGAACTCAGCAACCCATTAGAGAAACATTCAGATGCCGTCACTCGTAGACTGCATATTTTCAAACGAAGAATTCCTAGTTTGCAACTTCGTAACACTGGTTGTCTCAGGAAAAAGCCGTCACGTCGCCATATTCTTTAATCGTGTTGGCAAAACTGAGCTTAAGCATCCTACATACAACGGGCGTCGTAGATTCAAACGGTTGGATGGCTTGGACTTAGAGGATGATCTACGTCAGGTGGACAGAGATGCTTAGCCTCAACTTGATGTGGACTGTCACTGGGATTTATTAATGCACATTATCTTAAGCGCTACAAGCCAGTCTGTCCCATATGCGGTCCCCGAAATATACAACCAATCTACTGTCATTAGGACACGGACTCGCTCAATGACAAGACTTAGAGGGAACTACCAGGCGGAATACAAATGAATTAGTGACGACAGAACATATTGGCAGTTCGAATAATTACACATAGCACATATGCGCCAATAAATGATGGGCCCTACTAATATTACTTTTCCACTTGTAAAATATACTGCACAACACAGGTTTCTGCGTGGAGTAATCAGTGAACCACAGATACAAGATAGAGAAGCTTGTTAAGCAAGAACTTTTGTTTCATTTGCATTCATCTGAAGCGTTTGAAATTATTTATTTGGCTCCTGAAACAATCGTCTTCTCTTAGCACTCAAATACTCCTTTATTATTTTTTCGCATCGCAATCAGCCGTCCTGCCGAATAGTGATGTGATACCTGCTAGTGTCCAGAAATCTTACTAGCATGAAAAAAACATTCAGATTGTATGATGTAAAAACCCACAAATAGCTACCACCATTTGACTAGAATTAATAAAATCCAACTCAAACGGTTACGGAAGAAATGGAAGCGTTCACCTAACAGACTTATTTATCCAGTAGCAGTGGATCACCGTTGCCTCCAGGTAAGAACCCAAGTATGTCTGACGACAGTAGATGAAACATATTAGTAGATTATAGAGGGACATTGTCCTCAGTCCATAAGACTATGTCAAGTTTCCTCTTCAAGGACTCCAGGGAAGTCAGTTGTACTAAGTCAGCCGGCAATGAATTCCAGCGTTTGACTACTCGTAAACAATAGACAGTGTGCCTACAGTTCATTCTGCTATGTTGCGCCCCCAGTTTCTATGTGTTACCCCAAGGTTTGTGTTGTGGCTGAGCTTAATCAGGAATTTGAGAGGATAATGAGAAGTGTTTAGAATGCTGCAAGTTACCAGAAGTTCAAGTCTAAGACGCCTGTACTCTAGTGGGTAAAGGTTTAGAGATTTGGGGCGTTCTCCCTATAGCTTGAATTTGAGTTCCGACACTGATTTTGTGGCTAGCCGTTGGATACGTTCCAATGTTTCTGTATCATATTTCCATAAACTAAGTGGGGTCTAGCAAGTGTTAAAGATTAGGTTGCGTCTTCTATCGTCAAGTCGATCAAAAATGCTGTACAACGCTACTATGGCAAGGTTTGCTCGGAAAGCATCTTTATCGCATCTGGCGCAAGTTTTTATATCATAGGACATCAACATTCTCAGACCTTTCTCAACTTCGATACCTGTAGAAGGGGGTAGTCTGAAAGATGTCTCACATGAACTACCTAACACGGTAAAGTGTTGAAAGTAAGCCCGCCGTTATCCGCAAAACTTTAGAGCAGTGTTGGACTCCCATGAAATGCCAGCTTACCAAATTTCAACGAATTTCAACATCGTCAGCGAAAATTAATAAAACTATACTTCTGAGGAAGGTAATTTATGTAAATTAAAAAAGATCCTATTGCTGATCCCTGACGGACTATACTTGGACATTCAGTAGCCTGAAAAAATTGAAGTTTACCATGGCCCTAAGAAGCCAATTATTTTGATATGAAGTAAGCCAATCAATTATTGTTGGTTTAATACTTATTCGTTTAAGCTTATTGACAAGACCAGATTACCACTGATTAGTCATGACAAAGATTTGTAACTGCATAGAGGAATCGGTCAGTTTAAGCAAGCTCGACACGAAGATATTGGATATTGTATATACATTTGATACCAGGGTCACTTAAGTTTGTGGGTTTTCGAATAGTTTGGATGTAATAAATATAAATTTTGTCATATAATATTCCCATCCTTTCCTTCAATACTATATTGACTTTATCGTTGTAAGATACTTACGTCTACAGCCTTTTTCAATCATTGAACTTAACAAATTGGTCCGAACTTCAGGGTTTGAAATTTTTAATATTTCGAGCTAGTGCACATAAATAATGAACCGATTGTTGTTTCGAATCCGCTTCACATTATGAAGTGGTTTTTTGTTGCCTGGGTACCTCTAAAACCTGATAAAATGAAGCGTTCTTCTCACTATTCACTTTTCCTGCTCGACCAATAAACTGCGGTTAGGACATATGTCCCAGCTGTTTCTATACATCAGACCAATTTCAAAATACATATATACCGATTTTCAGTTTGTTGAATATCAGAAGTTATTCAAGATGCTTTCAGATTAACATCCAATACTCGTCCCAGACAACCAAAGAAAGGGAAATAAAGGCGAACAAGGGGAAATAAAGGGGTAAATGCTTTAGTAGTGAAAAGAGAAATGAAGAGAAAAACGCGCCAGAATGTCGCCTTATTCGCCTGTCCGGGGGAAAAAATGCGGGTTTCCCCCTCATAGCCGCTTTGTCGATAAATAACCGACTTTTCGCCTAAATATCCGCAGAATTGTCGAATTTTTGCCTAAATGTCCGCTAATTTGTCTACTTTTCGCCTAAATGTTCGCTGATTTGTCTACCTTTTGCCTAAAAGCCCGCCGAATTGTCTACTTCTCGCCTAAATTTCCTCAGAATTGCATACTTATACGCTTAATTGTTTACTTTTCGCCTAAATACACACAGAACTCCCTATTTAGCTACACGTGTAGCTAAACTTTTGAAAAGTATATCCACTTTTCATACTCAGGTTCTTACCTCGAGGCATCGGTGATCCACTGCTACTAGATAAGGAAGTCCGTTGAGCAAACGCTTCTATTTCTTCCTTAACCGTTCAAACCATTTGATTTGGATTGCATTAATTCTAGTCAAAGGGTGGTAGTTATTTGTGGGTTTGTATATCATGTAATCACATACTCTGACTTGATTCAGAGTATGTACAGCTAAAGCTAGTATTCCAAAGACGTGCATCATGTTGACATCTTACGTTATTTTTCATCAGATCAATCCGGTGGTTTCCGTTTTTCTACTGAAAATAGCATGCCCTCTCGGTGGAGAATATTGAATTTCAAAGTGTGGAGACACATATGGTACAGTCATATCATCTTCCGAAATCTGCCAACTCAGTACTCGATCAATTATAAAAGGTTTTCAGGAAAAAAGGTTATAATGATGATGAAATATCATGGTAGAATGGCTTACGATTACTGGATATGTGAAAATATTTGGTTTTTTGAGTAGTTAGTACTATGATAACCTAAGGAGGTCATTCAGGTCTACAAATATGGACAACAAATTAGCAAAATGTTAGTTGGATGGAAATTTAAATAATCCGACATCTGGGTTCACCACTTGTTACAGAATCACTGAGCTTGACGGCACTTTAGGCTTATAACTGACTCAGCAGTATATGTATATTTCGGTAGAAAAGCCAACCAAGCTATTTTGACCTATGATTGTATTCAACTAACTTGATAGATGGATACACCTAACACATCTATGATTGCAAAAAGAGCGATAAAAGGCCATAAAAACCAACACAAACATGAATGTTTGTTATTTGAAAATGTTAACTATACGGATATACAAATAAACTGAAGCGGTTAGTATGGGCCAACGAAACTAATACTTGAAATATTAACCAATAATTTATAGTATGATTTTGGTACCGTGTTTATATCATGCCACTAAAATCCTATAAATCCGAAGGTGTTGTTTAAAAGTACAGCCGAAGGTTTACGGTATTTATTACAATAATCGTTGGTAATCCCGAAAACTTAATGATATAAAGCTAACAAAGGGTATTCATGTGATGAACGTTCTTTATATTATTAGTTATTAACGTGAAAATCACTTTGTTTGGCTACCATTAACTCAATTACGTTCAACTGTATTATACAAAATGTCTGTACACCTTCAAATACAATAAGTAAATGCTCATTTATTCTATCATGATTGTCCCGTTTTACGTTTGAAACATGTTCCTATTGCACTGCTAAGAAAAATGCACCACTTCTTAAAGGGTTAAGGCGCAGACACCAAATACAATATTGGCCCTACTCAAAGTATTCTGGAAAAACAAAATGATCTACTATTTTTCTGTTTTAAAAACTAAAATCTCATGAATTATGCTTGTATGCAAAGTTTGCTATTTAAATTTCTATCTATAAATGTCAGACGATGAAATTTAAAAGCCGCAGATGTTAAGTAATCTCAAGTTTAAATGAACTCTGTACTATGAAAGTTGAGACTAAGGTAATTGTATTTCTTTTTCCCAAACTTTATAATGCTGATGTACAGTCTGGAAGCCTGTTTTCACTTAGATAATGTACATATGTCCAGTGTGATGCAGGTTTAGAAAAGTATCTATCAGAAGTACTTTTATTATATTTAAGCCTAGAATTCTTCTCAAATGATCCATCACTAGCGTATAGTTAGTGTTTTTAATTTGCCTCATAAACCTAGAATATTTTTATGTCAAGGAGATAACTAGGCAAGAATTCTTCCCTTAGCAACTTTTGGTTTACGTTTTCCTGCACAAATTACTCCACAGCACCGAAACAATTAGTACTGTAAGCAACTGAAAAATTAGTTCAAAGAATAATAGAAATAATATAATAACAAAAAACACAAAACGACATTTTTAATATTTATCGTTAACACGGCAACGTTAGTTTTCCATCCTTGGGTTTAATGGATGGTTTTCTATAGAATTTCATCCATTAACTACGTGGGTCAAAGCCCTTATTGACCAAACAAAATCAAACATACTTCATGAAAGATTGGTAGCAGGTGTTAAGATGTGCAAAAGTCTATTCATCACAAAACAACAACTTTAAGTTAATCTTAAATCTACGCAAATTCCAAGCGCTTATTAGTTAAGGAAATACAGATATTCCCTGATATTGATACCTCAACCACTTTAAACTACCGTATAACTGCTCATCAAGCTCCTGATTAACGCGAAATCGGACTTTTACTGAACAAGAAAACAGCCAAGATTTGTTAATTACTGATGAACTTGCAATCTACCTAAATAAAAAACATTTTACTCCATTAGTTGTTCAAAATTTGAAAGAAATCTTTATTTACACACAGTTTTATTCTGGTGGTGTTTACTTATCATCGAACTAAGTATTTAGCGCCTTACAGCAACCTATGGCAGGAGCTGTAAAACATTTTTTAATTATTTTTAAACGTATTTCATCACGTAAATTTGACATACTTATAATAAGTTTTAATAGAATAATGATAAATACGCCAACACAAGTAAATGTTTAGGCGATTTCTTTTACGAATATTCTAAATCTCACAGTATTTTCACGAACCGTTTAGCACCTGACCACCTGTCCAATGATGAAAATCTATAGATTTTCCCATTCATTACATTGAAAAGTCAGATCTTTACCTCACCAGTCTGGGTGAAATAATAAACAGAAAAATAAATTTTGTTTCCTTGAGAAACAATTATTATTTCTGGAACCAAATGATTTTGCTGTTGCTCCGTCACAGAAATGTATGGCATCTTTAAAACTTTAAAATAATAATATGAAAAATTAAAATAACACAAAATACTAATATTTTTTTGTCTATATCTTCATCATCACATTCATATGTACGTATGAAGCCAATCAATGAAACCAATGAAACAGGGTTTCATAACTAAGCATAGTCAGTAAAAACAAGTATATGGTACAATTTGATAGCAGAGTAACATGTATATAATAGCGATACGGTTAAACACAATGGCTTTAATAACGGACTGTCGGTAATATAACTAACTGGGTTCATATAAGATTTAACCGATTGGGAATAATAAGTAGTAATTGATTATACATATATGTATTCTCAGTTGGTTGGATTTTATATACACTCGGTTAGTTATGCTGCTGATAGTTTATTCAGAAAAAACAACCAGTTTCACATAAAGCTAGTTTGTGAAAAGAAATTATTAGCAATCGTATGTATTCTACATTTTAGACATGGTTAAACTATATTCAATGAGAAAAATAATAAATAGGTAACCAAACTTCATCATTTCATACATTTAGATTAGCGTGGTTTTTATGCAAACGTAGTGAAGTTTGAAAGGACTTTTCGTAAGGAAAGTTCTTTGCACTTCATATCTATCGCAATGTGAATGTAATTTTTACCATAGAGACGAGTTAAACAGCTATGTTGTACAGTTTAATTTATAAATCTCATAATTGTCATGACATATCTGTCTAGTATTTTAAAATAATTAAGTATTTTTGTTTACATTTTCTGTATTACTAGTATTTTATCATGACATAACATATAACATTATTTTTATTAGGATACCGAAATGAATAAAACTTACTCCAAAGATGATAAAATTCAAGGGAAACCATCCCCACCAAATATCACTAGTGTAACTTATGTGAGTGTAGATCTGGATTGGAAAGACTACTTGAATAAAATTCATGAAAAAATGAATGCCCAATCTGATAAAATCAATCCATTAGCTGAAGTAATTTTCAAGAAAGATTCTTCTGAAGATTGGGAAAGTGGATATATGTAATTTGTTATTCAAAAAATCTCCAACAAAAATGTTTAATTTTTCTTTTTCCAATTTTTAAGTGGCTACGATCATCAATGTACATGCAAAAACTTAGAACCTGATACATCATATTATTTTCGAATGCGTTTTAAAAATTTAAAAGAATTTGAAAATTGGAGTGATGTGGTACATGTTCAAACAAACCGTAAGCTTATTATGATGAAATGTTTTTAAAAAATAATGTATTTCTTTTATTAGAACTTCCTGTAACTGGTCATGAAATACATGTTGCTATAAGACAGGAAAATGTCTTACGTTTACGCGAGTTACTTGAAAAAGAGTAAGTTATTTGAATTAATAACATTTATAGTCACTTAACTATTTGATAAATTCAACAAGAATTTCAATATAACTAGGCGACAGGTAGCTGAATCCCTTAAAAAAAGTGATAACTTTATTATAGTCTTATTCTTAATGAAATATTAACCTACTTTATGAATTAATGAGAAACAGATAATTTTACTGATTGATGAGAACAGTTAAAATCCTAAATCATTACAGTAATGTGACATTAAAGATCTTTTCTAGTGTTTACAAGAACCTAGATCATATGTGTTTGTTTGTTTTTTGAATGACTTTTGATCATATTTATGCTGGTGTTAAGCATTCTATCTATAAATTTGTTATTCTGCTCAGACAAATACTTTTAATTATCCAGTTGTTTTTTTGTCTCTTGTTAACCGATAATTTGACATTTTAGCGTAAAGCACTTACTATTTTTGAGTTATTAACTGGAATATTTTAAATGTATATTCTCATCTGAAATATAGAGGCTTCCTATTATTCATTATTTTGATTTTCATAGTAAGTTGTATATTAGTTACTTTTAAACGATATCTATTTCGAATTTTTGTCCTTAGACAAGCATCTATTGAAGCAATAGATGAGTTAGGATTTACTGCTCTTATGTATTGCGCCCAGCGAAATCTTTCGGAGTAAGTCTGTTGAAATTAAATTTGATTATGAATTCTTAACTACCAAAATGAATGCTATAAATAATTTTGTTCTATAAATGTATTACATTGTGTATACATAAAACTTTGCATCAGAAAAAAAAAGATTGATCGATTATTGGTCACTTTTTGATTAAATGGGACTCATAATTTTGGGAATATATTGATGTTAGTAAGTTCACAATTATTTCATTCTTTACATTTGGTATCGTAAAAGCTCAAAAGATGTGTAAATATCCATCATGGAATAATTTTAATCAGACAATGAACAAAAGCCAATTGCAATTTAATGAACTGTTACTGTCTAAGTAAGATCACTCTAATACAAAACTACAAAATTTGGCGAGGTTTGCAACTTTCTATTGTGAAAGAACGTGTAGTTTCTACGATATCCCAACTGAAAGTTTAAGATAATTATTAATGGATTTCTTTTGAAAGAAGTTTGCCAACTGAAAAGTATTAAACTGTTGTTTTGTCAAAGTTGTACACTTATCACAAATAATAGTTAAAGATCAACTTTATCATGTAGAGATCTCGTGTCAAGGAGAAAAATTTGTAGTGATTACTGTTGCTTTTGAAAATTCGAAGATAAGCTACAGTAAAACATAAATATAGGCTTCTAATTCCTTTGAATTTATTGGGAAGGTGTATCTATTTCATTAAGTATATTCAGAATGTTTTGGAAATTTATAACAACATCACAGATTAGCTATATATTGCGATACACTAATCATGCAAAATGTAGTTTTGTTTTGTATAAAAATTGGTTTTAAATCTAGTGCTCGATTCTTCAGTGTCTAGCGACGTTTGTGGACAGAAAGATTTGATTGGACCGGTAACCAGTACTTGCAAATTGAGTAAACACCAATTTACACTGATCAATATATTTATCATTTAAACAACTCTGAAGGAACCTTGCGGTTATCTAGGTTAACAAAATGGAGGGTCGGGATAACTAGTGGATGAAGTAACTTAAATATAGTTCAGATTATTGAAGTGCTTTTTGAAATGCCTCTTAAAAAAATTGGAATCTAATAATCATAGGAACTATCCAGTATTTGTGTTTGTTATTCGTTCTTCCGTTGGCCTAAAATTCAGTGACATTATGGATTAATATTCTTTAGATCCAGAACTTTTTATTATATACAATTAGTAATTGTGGTCACGTACTTTAGTACTCTCTTGATGTGATTTTTGAAGGTGGAAACTATCTATACTATCTAATCGAGAGATTTATATTTCAAAAAATTTTCCAGCCATTAATAACAACTATGCATAATAAAATATGTATATTGGAAAATATTTGTTATATCCACATTGTCTACAGTGTCCGTCTAGTAACTAAATACACCCTTCATATTTTCTATAGCATGATGTCAATCTTACTTGAAGCTAATGCAAATACAGAGACAGAATCTAGTACAGGAAAAACTGCGATTATGTTTGCTGCTTTCAAAGTTAGTAGTTTTGTTTTAAATGAGAACGTACAGTTAATTTTGCTGATTAACATCAACTTACTTGAGATAACAGACCATTTACTAAAAAGTAATTTTCAAGGAGTAGAGACAAAAAAGTAATTTTATAGCTGATCAGAATAGCTGAGACGATTTGATGATATACGCTACAAGATATGTTTCAATCAAAATTAACTAACACCCCCCCCAGACAACTATGGAATTTGTTCACAGAAATTCGTTCAATAGTCCATGAAATCTGTCACTACTTGTCCAATTGTTTGTACCTGTTTTGTGGTCAGTTGATCCTGAGTTCTACGTTATTTCAACTTAGGTATTTCCTTTATGCCTCAGGTGAGATCGGCATAAGTAAAAAATCGAAATCCATACCTCACTTTTGAAACTACTGATTAAAATTTAGTAGTTAAGAAAAATAATGTGAAAATATTTATGGCTAACGGATGAGTTCCATAGTAGAATGAAAAGGCCGTCCAGTGCTTTCAGGCTTTCCATGGTGTTCTAGCTTCAATTCAATTATTAAATTGTTGTCATGAAGTTAATAACTTCATTTCATGTAATTGCTCTAAACTGTAATTGTATTTTTGAAGTATATTTAAAGAAATTTAGGAGAACCTCAACCAAAAGGAGGAATATACTACATAGAATCAACAACTGTAATATTAGATTTAGTCAAAAGGTATACAGTCCTATAGTTGAGACCTTTGGAAAAAATGATTGGAAATCGCTCACAGTTTTGTCCATCAAAATCTTGAGTTTATTGTTTCATAAATTCTATTGCCCAGGTTTATCTGTTATTCTCAAATTATTCTTCATTTGTTTGCTTGTCTATTCCGTTATCATAACGATAATAAAATCATTTACAATTCATTGAACGTCATTAAATTAATCTGCCTCAATTTGTGATGTATATTGTCAAAAATTGAACTAATATACATATGTATGTGATTTTAGATCACTTCTAAATGACTAGCTAGATCAGGACTATGGATCTATTATTTACAATGTATTTTTTATATAGTTTACACAGGTTTATTTGTGTGCATAAACTTATCATTTAGTGTTTATCATCCATACAGTAGATAGTTGTAGAGTTTATCAAAATAATACTTCCAATGTCTACATTACATGCAGCTGCTTCAATGAACTGATAAAACGCACTCATGTTATGGTTTCTTCTAATCTGCTCACAACAGATGATATATATATAGGATCTCGTTTTATATCGGAATCAGACTCACAAGCTATATCATATGCATAAAATAAGTTAACTAACAGACAATTACACTGTTTATCAAAGCCAACCAAGAAGATTCGTATCTTCATGTTACAGTGTTAAATAGGCATTATATTATAGTTACAATTTTTGTTTATTACTCTCCGATAATTCTTGAATAAAATTTTATTTCAAACCTTTCCACCAGAATTAAATACAGTTCCTAAGTTGTTTTTTGCCTCTACTTTACCCTTATTTTTACTTATTCGAATCCTCTTTCGTCAATTTTCTCTTATCATACTGATATGAAAACATCTGAGAACTTGAGCCAACTACATATTTATATCAGGTCTTAAAAATGTTTGCATTTATTCAGCTGATAAATAGAAGCATAATTTACAAAAGAAGCTTCAATAATTTATAGTAGATGTAATGAATAAAAATAAAATAATTCAACTTGAACGCGCGTCGCGTCATATTTGAGACTCATCGGCTGGATGTACCTGCAAACATTACTGGGTTGGATTCCCAGGATGAATATCAACTCTGGTATGGAGGTACATTCAGATGACGAGTTTCAAGTAGGACAAAACGCTAATCCTGGATTCCACTGTTAGCAACTATTCATCTCGACCTAAAATAATGTTTTGTTTTCGTATTTAGGGAAACATTGAATGTATGGAATTACTACTTGAATATGGAGCTAATGTGAATCATTCAGATAAAAATGGTTTGACCGCTTTACACATGGCTGTAGATGGAGAGCAACCAAGAGCAATCAGATTATTGGTTAAATCATGTTCTAATTTAGAAGCTAAGGATAACAATCTTGGATGGACACCTTTATTACGTTGTGGTAAATTTATTAGATAATTATATCTTCTTTTAAGAAATAAATTATATTTTTAAAAATCGCAGTTGTTGAAATTAAAATAAATCCACCATCTCGCTCGACGGTCTGGCCAAGGCTTCTTTAGCTCCTGAAAGAAGCTTAGGCCAGATGTTTGATCTATTTTAACTCCGATAGCTGAAATTTTTCAGTTGATATTGGTTTATTATGAACGTCACATTCAGTGTATACATTGTTTACGTAAAACTTACAAGCTATGATGATTTTCTGTAAAATGTTCTCATAACGATGTTCTTGGTTTTTTTATTACCTCTAAGGTTAGTGGTAAAAACAAGAATCCGCGTACTGTTGACTTTAGTAATATTAGATGTTGATGCTGATCCTAATCAATACTATGATTTGTTGAGGTGGACCCAGTAACAAATGTTATTGTGAATTTTCTCTGCTTGATAATATTGTAATACGATTATGCCACATAACTGATGCAGACTGATACTAATCACTGCATTTTATAGAATACTGTATGTTCCATAATTTTGACTAGTTTGATTATCTTTCTAAACAAAAATAACCCTAACACAAAGTTTCACCTACCTCCATTTTACCTATGTGTTACTATTATAGTTTGTGTTATTTTATATTATTTAGTCAATATATTATGTTACAGTCGATCCGCTCTCATAGTAGAAACATCTTTTATCACTTCATATCTTATATTTCATCCACTTAGTACACATCACAACATTAGGATTCAATATGACACTTATAAAAGGTGAAATGCTTTTTTCAAAATCAGATTATCATGATATTTGAACTGATCAATCTACGTAAGAAGAAAAAATCTTCAAGAAGACTTAATATATAATGAATTAGTATCAGAAGGGGTTTTGTGAAGATTGTAGTAATTTCAACAGTTGAGATCATGAGTCAATTGAAGCTAGACCACTATGGAAAACCTGGAAGCACTGGACGACCGTTTCGTCCCATTGTGGGACTCTTCAACAGTGCGCAACCACGAACCTGCCTCGTGGGATTCGAACCCAGGACATGTCAGTCTCGCGCCAGACGCTTAAGCAACTAGACCACTGAGCCGGGTACCAGCGTTACTAATGTCTAACTTTAACTAATCCACGAAATTGAGCTACACATCCACCGTTGTCTTCAGTGAATTACTACCTCACAACTGACCCGGTTGAATTTTTGAGCGAATAACAATTTAGATAAGAGTTAGCCATGGAATCTAGAGTTGACATTTTATTTATAACGCATCGGAATATCATATCACTTCTGAATATCAACAACGAGAAAGTAAAAACTAACAATTTTATTACATCACATCACATCAAGTCAATAGTATACAACACCTTTAAAGTATAAAATAATCAAACTCAATATGAAAAACCTGGAATGTAAACTAATCTTGACTGACGAAACCCAAATAGGACAATATGATGCAATTTTCTCGCCAAAATATCGGAATTCCGTCTATAATATTACGAATAGTTATACAGTCATGTCAATGTACATGTAATAAGTGTTATCCAAAAATTCTGATTTAAAAATTTATAGACGTTACTCAAACCGCATTAAAATGGTTTTACTTTTATTTTTCCTACATAATAATAGCCGCTTTAAAAAATAATGGAAACGTAGAGGTAGCCAGAGAATTAATTAAACTGAATGCTAATATTGATGCACAAGATCGAGATGGTAAAACTGCACTACATAATTGTATTCTACATGGACACTATGATTTATGCCGGTTTCTGTTAGAAAATAATGCCAATGTGAATTTAAAAACAAACGTAAGTAAACGTTTTGGAAAGCCTTGAGTATTTTGTTTCATTGTTGGGTCATCAACTAACATACGATGTTATTTATTTAGGTAATCATGATGATTAGAAGTATTTGAATTATAGTATGAACTAAGAATCCCAGAAATAGCGTAATCGGATCAAAAAGTACTAAATAACCACAAACGAATGTACCGTATTTAGAATTCGAAATCAAGCATTCAACAAGTACAAAGTTTACATTAGTTTATTCAAACACCACAGTAACCTTATTGGAAGGTTGTATATTATGAAATAACATATCAAGATTATCTAAACGCACTATATATACTCAGAGAATAAGGTAATGAATGCTAAATGTCGTCAAACTATCCATTGATTATTTTTCGTATACAGTGACTCAATACGCTAGTAGAGATCTAGCTAACCACAATGAAATTACTTAGAAAGACAATTTAGCTGACCAATACTATTATTAATGTGAAAAAGGGATTTATTTTAAAAATGACGACTTTTCATCAACTAATTCGTTTAAGCAGTTAAGCTACTGAAGAAGTATGTGCATATATATCTATATATGAGAAAGAAGTTGGGAGTGGACCTTATCTTGACTTTTGTAGCTTTTATTCACATGGCTTTAAATATCTTGTACTACGCAGAAGAATTCGAATCAAACAGAAAACACAAGAATTTTTTCCTAATTAAATATGACGAAAAATACTGTAGATAGGACTTAAATGAAGAAAACCTCATATTCTCCCGACTGATGTTGAGTAGTGAGCGAAGTGAGAGAAAGACTGATACAGAACTTACAGTAACACTTGGAAGCACATTACACACGGTGGAACCAGTAACCCTAATGACGCTATAAGAACACAAACAAAAGTACAAAATTACATTCAATAGTAGACTCACTAAAACAACAGGATGCCTGCTTGCTTATCGAACATAATCTAGGATATCAACTTACAAGAGACATGACGGACAACTTGCTAAAATGCCTAACCCCAAATAAATACAATAAACAAAAAATGATCAATTTTTAGTGGTTAAATTGCAACCACCTTCCCAATGGGAATGAAATAAAACAGTAATACCTTTTCTCATTTTTTTTTACCTACGATCACAAATCGAAGATTTTAGCTGGAGAAGATTCTATTCACCTGTGTATATTAATATTCACTGAAGAGAATTCCGATTTTAGAGAAGGCAAAAAGATTTAATAAATCCAATATATTGAACACATTATGCTATCCTTTGTTTAAATTAAGGAAACTATCTAAAATTGACTCAAATATATTCGTGGACTGATTGAAGTTAAATATTAACACCGTAGGATGCTGACTCACTGGTCTACAGGTTAAGCATTCACGCGTAAGTCCGATAGGTCCTGGATTCGAATCCCCAAAGCAGGGTCATGGATGCGCACAGCTGAGGAGTCCCATACTAGGACGAAACTGTTGTTCAGTGCTTCCATCTTTCCCATGGTGGTCTAACTTTAACTGACTCATGAAGTGAACTATTAAAAAGGTTACTGAATTATTTAGACTTATATTCTATCAATAACTACCTCTTCCAGTTAGCATTGGTTTCTGTCACAAAGCATTTTAGTGTAAGCGAAAGCAAATATTACTCATTATTTTTCAGTAAGTCAATTTAACTAAATCGTAGTTTTTAAACCCGAATTCACAAACCGATTCCTTCAAATCGTGTGATTATTCTTTTGCCATTTTATTTGTAATTGTAGAATGGACATAGTGCATTAGTACTAAGTGAATCTATTGGAAATCAAGTAAGTGAAAGTTATTTCATTCAACGAAAAACTTTTTCTTTTCAAAATTAGAAAATTCAAAAATTAATCAAAGAATTTGTCAATCATAGTAAAACTTGGTAAGTTGTATCAAATTTTTCTTTTGTTTGAAAGAAATAAACAAAATATTTTCACGAGATCCTTGTATAGTACCATTTAGATTTCAAAACAAACAAATGTTGAATGAAGAATATTCTTTTCAATGAATTTCTCATCACGTATTCTACAATTATCTCATATCCATATTAATAATCCATGAAATCGACCAGATTGAAGGCAGGGTACATCATTTGGAAATTGTAATATGTGAATCAAGGATTGTTGTTTGTCATATATCAAATCAAATCAAATCGTTCATGCTGGAGCTGACTAATATGAAGTCGCTGAATTGAATCAGTTTATAAATGAAATGAAATTGTGTGATCAGTAATGATCAGAATAATTATGGTCAACATGGGGTGAGAGAGAAAGAGGATAATGGAATAAAAATCAGAAATTACGTAATATGTAGAATATTATGAATCAGGTCAGATATAGTAGATAGGGATGGATACTGAATAAATCTCTCAAAAAGGTTATCAAGTGTAGTAATATTAATAATAATGGTAAAGATAGTAATAATAAGATAATAATATTATAAAATCGACTATTAACTAGTTGACCTCGAATTTGGCCATGGTAAAAGGAGCGACTAAACATATTTCTTTTGGATGCAAATGTCTGGCTTTTTGATCCGAATAGCAATTGCTTCAGCCGTCTGCAGGATTCTCTGTTTGACGGAATTAGGTAAACTGCTGTTAACACGATATATTAATGCGAAAGATTGCTCTATGTTGGCTGTATGTGCCGTCTGAATTAAATAGTCTAAAATGGAGCTGTTAACCGTTTTAACTACATCTTTGCTTAACCACGGTGGGAGGTGCTCACAAGCCCGAATATATACATTTGTAGAACATCTCCCAATATAACTTGCTCCACAGGAGCAGCTGAACTGAGAGATACAGAAAGAGGCGGCTACTCCAGGCAATTTATCTACTATATCTGACCTCATTCATATTATTCTATATATTACGTAATTTCTGGTTTTTATTCCATTATTCTCTTTCTCTCTCACTCCATATTGACCATAATTATTCTGATCATTATTTATTCCACAATTTCATTTCATTTATAAACCGATTCAAGTCAACAAACTCATATTAATCAGCTCCAACATGAACGACTCAATTTGATTCGATATATGACAAACAACAATCCTTGATTCACATATTACAATTTCCAAATGATGTACCCTGCCTTCAATCTGGTCAATTTTATGGATATGGATAATTGTAGAATACGTGATGAGGAATTCATTGAAAAGAATATTCTTCATTCATATGAATTGTGATTTAAATACTGAACCTTAATGATATATACCTTAGTTATACATTCATTGGTCTCATCAAATTTAAAATGATTACTAAGATATTCACCATATAACATGAATTAAACATTTTTGAGAATTATATATTTGAATGAGTGAATCAGAAAATAAAATCATCTCTATGAACTTAACTAATAGTTCAATGAACGAATAAATGTGTAATTGTCATGTAGGATATAATAGTAATAATGCTAATGATCTATGTATTGTTATTCATATAATTATCTGATATTTAGTTGTGTTAAAATACAAATCGCATAGCAACCATTTTTGCTCATAATTCTATGATATTTTGTTTGAAAATATATTAACTAAAAAAATATGAAAATAATTTTTCTGTAGATAGTTATCAGCTACAGAATCAATAAAAGTCATGAAACACATGGTAGCTGGTTTGTGTTGGTGTAGAGATCTACACAGTAATGCCCATCTACATTGACTTTTAACAGGATCAGACATATAACTTGCCGATCCTATTCCATCCTTATTTTAAGTATTTTGATGTTGAAGTGATTACATAATAAAATCATCTTCAAATTAAACAAGTCTTCATAAATCATTCAACAAAACAAATGTCTAATAGTTGAATTCATTAGTCGATTAAAGCTAGACCACCATTGAAAACCTGGAAGCACTGAACGACCGTTTCGTCTCAGTATGGGACTCCTCAGCAATGTGCATCTACGATTCCACACATAGGATGTGGAACCAGGAACTTCGGTTCCACGTGCGAACGCTTAACCTGTAGACCAGTGACTCGGTATCCAACGGTGTTATTGTCCAACTTCAACTAATCCACGAAATTGTGCTCACTAGTGACTGACTTCAAGAAGCATTTCCTGGAATTCTAATGAGAATTCGTGATCAGAAGAGTTCAACCGTGTCGGTTATGAGGCAATAACTCACTGAAGACAATAGTGGACGGTGGTGCAATTTCGTGGATTAGTTGAAGTTAGATATTAACACCATTGGATGCCGACACAGTGGTCTAAAGATTAAGCGTTCACACGTGAGACCGAAGTTCCTGGTTCCACATCCTATGTGTGGAATCGTAGATGCACATTGCTGACGAGTCCCATACTGAGACGAAACGGCCGTTCAGTGCTTCCAGGTTTACAATGGTGGTCTAGCTTTAATCGACTCATGAATTCCATTGTGAATATATTGCGATCTCCATAAATCCGCACAATGATAATAAATTTTCACTTGGAACAATCGGCAACCGTTAAAAGTAATAATAATTTTTTATCCCACTTTAATTTTTTATTGTTTATATTATTTTATGATAATTGAAGCTTCCTAGTGGTTTATTGTTATATATATGTGTATATATAGCTCAGCAACACACTATTTTTCTCACATAGTGTAGGAAATTGAGCAGAATAGCCACAATTGATTAAATTGCTATATTTTGTAATATTGAATTATCTTACGTATATGGTTAAATCGTAAAATTTTCATCACTGATAAATCTGCCGTTGAAAGAACAGAACATTTTAAACTAGTCTCACAAATACGAAATCAGTCCATCTTATGGGCGTTTCCCAGCTGCTTGACAAAAGCTTAATTGTATTTATTTAATTATCCTATTGATTGTCATGCTACATTAACCTATGATCAAGTGAATAATATTGACAGTAAATATATAGCGTCAGAATTAGATCCTTAATATCTTAGCTAAATATTTTACATCTCCAAATGGATATTACACAGTAAATACTCTTTATTTAAAGTTGAGTAATTTTGTAAGCTTGTATTTCTAGGTTCTTTCCATCAATAATTGATGTTACCAATAAGAGTTGGAGAACCACCGAGAGCTAGAAAGCACTAACCTACTGTCTCATCTTATTTGAAGATTCCACTCAATACTATACATAATTGAATCCAAGACTACATGTTATTACAAATACGATTCGATCAGTCGAAATCTGACAGCCATTAAAGTGAGAAATAGGATGACGCACATCCCAATACCTGGAACCCTAGCACCCACGTTATGTATAATCGTCGATATCGAAGGGGTATAGACTAAAATTAGCGGTCGATTACTCCTCGATTTTCAGCAATCTTCCAACTTACGACAGTTCATTATAATTAGCACCTAGTTTTGCCAACCGTAAAACTACCTACTCACTGTTTGTTTTCCATTTCAGATTCCAATTTCAATAGCATGTCTATCTCAAATATGCATGCCAATTATACCCACGTTGGATAATATATACTATCTAATTGCATAGATAATGTTACACAAGTGTTCGGTCCATTTGACTTTTCCCTGATACTTAGACTTACGATAATCCCTAACCCTACCACTATTAATCAAAACTAAGAATTCACATACTACTCATTTTTTGTTACCTATTCATTCCTCACTAACGATTGGATGACCATACTAAAATTTTGATAATTCTGTATGTACTTACCTCTTTTTTCTGAATATATCATGTGATGGTTTATAAGAAAACGTAATATTAGAATTGCTTTACATTCCCACTTCAATTTTATTTCTGATCACTTAGATCGCCAGTCAGTTATATGTTTACATTCTGATGGAATGTTAATCCCAAACACTGAATTATTTTCTACATACATATGTATCCAGCATAAATGGTAGATTTTTACTGCACATGGTTTCAATAATTATACTGACCTTGTTGGTATATTTATTTTCACTAGAAAGTGAGTATATTCTGTTTGTTTTACTACAGACCGGTATGAAGAATTACGATTTATCTCGATAATGCTTTTGTCGTCTGACAAGCAATGGAGTCATATAATAGTGATGGGATATTTAGTGTATGAACGGAGTTAAATATACATACTTATTCCTATCTCTGATCGTCAATGTGATTAAAGCTAGTTACGGTGTTTAGTTACCAAATATTCAATAATACTAAGAGAACCCAATTATCAGTCATAGATAAATGGACAATGCAGATTCTGAAATATTACTTGTTTTCTGAAGCTTAGAAACATAGGTCAAAAAAACAATTGCAATCAGCGAAATATTATGTTAGTGCTAAAAGTGGCTTGTTCAGTTTTTCACAAACTATTTACATTCTGTAATGTGGTGGCTAAAGTGTAAAAATATAGATTTATTTATCAACTTTGGTCCATACTGTTTGTATATGAAGGGTAGTGATACTATCCAGTTGTCAAAACCAAAGTAAGCAAGGTTAGGTTTCAAACATGCAACCTATTGCTTGAGAGTAAAATGATTTATTCCCTAAACCATCATCCCACATTTTCTGGGGAATAAAAAGACGAAAGGCATCGTTTAATCATTAAATAAAGTTCTCTTTGCAATCAAAGGTCATATATTATCATTTGTTGTGGTTTCTATGACTCAGTAAAATGTCGTATGAAAATGAGGGAAAAGCGCATGATTTGAAAAGTGAAATCTACTGTATCTTCTCTTATTTCGTACAGCACTTTACTTGACTACCTTGAAAGAAAAACAATACACAATAGTCATCGGTCATATTCAAGGTGCATATATTTGCATTGGAATAATTACATTGTTTGTAAATTAAGAATTCGTCAAATAAAGTGAATAAAACATAACCTCAAAATAACATATACCACTTTATAATAATCTTGAAGTTGAAAAGGTATTTTTTGCAACAAAAACAATAACTTTGAAAACCATTATCACATATGATTACCACTAGTACTAGTAACAATAGTATTAAGTAATATATTATATTGTAAAATTGGTAAGGAAACAACTGTACATAAACAATAGTAACCAAAGTAGGGAGTGAAAAAAAGACTAAAATAAACAAGTTTACATTATTTATTAAAATAAAGTTATCCTCTTGAAGTATTTGGTCCAGTTCTAATTAACTTATGCCCATTCTCAACTAATTCTGATAAAGTGACACGACCACATTTTTCAATATACTGAGCAACGGCTTCATATTCATCATTTGTAATATGAATAACTTTGCCTCGATCATCCAATACCCCAGTTAACCGACCAGAAGACATAAGTGCTTTGACCTTTTCTATACAAACCTTTACAAGAAAAATAAAATTACGGAATGATAAAAACTAATGCAGAATTCCGGGATTTATACATTCATGTAAAACTGCTACCGGCTTCATTATGCATGACTAGCGAGCTTAAGCTATTAAAATAAAACTTATCGTTTAAAATATAATCATTTAACTAACAAATTATCAAGAGAACTTTAAAAATTATAAATATCCACTTACAATAGCTTAACCACTCAAAACACACAACAAAGGTAATAAAATATAACCATTCGAGGATTAAATAAATATTCGAACAACATGTAATGATATATAGTGAAACTTAGACAAACTACTGTGATTATATGAAAACCATTTCATTATCATATTAACCAACAAATGGAATGTTAGGCAACAGTACACAACATATAATTCTAAGCCTTTATGGATGAAATAAGACAAGCTCTTCGTATGATTATTTGTCTGTATTGTGCATATACCTGAAAACACAGGTAGTAAGCTTATGAAAGTTAAATTTTATTATAAAACATTTTGTAATAGAAAATAATGGAGTTTAAACTCCACAGTTTATAACAGACAATAGTTACGTAATATCCAGCAAAGACAAATATTGATTGTTATTTATAATATTAAAACATTAGGACAAAATATAAAGTGAAATAAGACGACTGTTAAAAGAACAGAAAGACGAAACTGAGAGAATAAAATTAAGGATAACAAGGTTTTGAGAAAACAGTGTTAGGGACCTCGAAGATGCTACGGAGAAGACACAATTACAAAACTGAAAAAACTTCAAAATCTCTTGATTTTTCCCAACCTCATTTTCTATCGTTAATATATATTCTCAAATAAAATGTGAATTGTGCTTCTACTTCTACAAAAGTGGCAAAAATCTATGCTAGAACTTTCTCTTTATGGTGAGCTGTTGGGAACAGTTGATGACTTCATATATCGAAGTAGTTGATGACAGTGAGCTAAAAGAGACTGATTTACATACAATGAAAACCGGAGAAGCTTATTCTAATCTGGAAACCTCTCACCGTTAGTGAGGCTATGAAAGATTAGGTTGATAATCCTAATGAAAGATAAATTCACTGAGCTGATGTCCGACAACTTTTTATATCTGATCATCACTATCTCGAAATGATAGCTTCCATTCAATACCAAGTGATTCCGACTTCCCGTAACGCGTGTTGTAGATCAGTATCCATTAATCAGCAAGTATTACTAGTCTCAAACGTAAATAACGGTGGCTTTGTTCTGTTTATTGTGTCGTTCTAGCGTCTCGTAAACCCCTCATTGTTTTCTCATGCTGAAGATAAGTTTTAGAAAATAGATGATCAGTTTGTAAAATTAAGAATAAATGAACTAGATTACCATTTACTGGTCTTAAGGATTATTCAGCCTGGAGCTCTAGATATAATCAAACGTTTCTCAGAATAAAGATCTGTGGCGATCCTACTTTAATTTTTCACCAATTTTTTTAAACAATAAAATGCATATATTAACTGAATGGAATCTTTGTTTTATTCGCATCTAAAGACATTGTTTTATGGGTTTACATTTTCGTATCTTTTATATTTAGGACTATGATAGATCAGGCTTTATTGGCACATATCCATCACTAGCCGACTGCCACATTGCTTTGGTAAGATCGGATTACTCTGCTAGCCAAAATCCAACTTTAGTGGGCCCCCGAATGCCCTGGTATGGCCAAGAGTGGGGAGGACCCGCCCTCCCTCTCGAAATGCTCTCATACGGCTACGCTTATATAGCCTCTTCCAGGGAAGTCCTACTCACTGCCTTCTCTTGGCGGGGGTGTTGTTTATGAAATTGAGAGGACGAAAAGCGAATGTCCGGCGCTTTAACCGGGCCGGTGGACAGTGAGTTCATCTAGGGGAGTTGGAAAACCCTGATTCCAAACCAAACGTGTACATGAGCTCCAGAATCCTGAAGGAACAAATGGCATATTAACCAATTGTTGCCCACCGGCTACCATGAGACTGCATCTCCTCACGATGCTCCACTACCTTGTGGGTCAGAACTTTAGGTCAAAGGCTCGAGGTGTGGCTCCCTAAGAAAACCACCTGCTCCGGTCTGGGCACCCGGGCAGTATCACAGCCCACACAAACAGAATGGAATGACGATATTTACTGAAAATACTATTCTTGGTGTGGCGGATATATATCTGGTGCTCCCTTGTACCAATATTTGTGTTCAAATAAAATAATAAAATTTAGTGGAGAAAGAAGAGAATAAAAAAGAATAGTTGATGACATATTAAGTTATTTTTAGAATTAAGTCGAACAGGGATGACTGATTTCAAGTCCTCTACTACGAAGACTTTCTGATTATTAATAGTGTAATTCATTGAGTACATATCCGTGTATTTGATTTTAAACCATATTTTTAGCGTAAAGCTCAACGATTTTACACAGTTTGCTTAACTGAAGTACAAGAAACAGAGTTCAAACCTAAGACTTGAAGAGTAAAACCTAATTGTTTCAACCATTAAGCGAGCGATTCCAAAAAAGTCGATTTTAACGATATTCCGTAAGAAGAAAAATATACCTCCGTCTTTAAATTTAAATTGATTGCCAAATGTTCGACTGGAATAATTTTTGCTTCTTCAATAGCTGCAATAATTTGTGCATTAATCATTGCTTTTGCTTTGTCATCTTGTTGTTGTACATCTACTCCTTCTTCCTCAATACTAAACTCTTGTTTTAAGCGCTCATATTCAGCTTGTTCACGAGCTGCTTCTTCTTCACGACGTTTAGCTTCAGCAGCAGCCTGTAATTGAAAGTAAATTTTATGTAAGAATCTTAAATAGTACAACAAAATGTGATAAAAACTAAACAATAGCCCAAAATTATAAATGGTAATAGAAAAAATATATTCTACAAATACATACTTGACTGTTATTGAGCAATCAAAACAATTTTGTGTGCATGGGTTAAGAAAACATAATACAGTTGGCCAATATAAATTTACTTCTAACTAAAATTTTAGCATAATTAACTTTCAGTTTCAAGGTCATAGATTATACTAACGTGGTTAATGATCAACCGGATTGCCTATGCCTTTTGAATTTGTCTGTTTATTTACAGAGTCGAGTACATATTTATTTATATTTCCTGAAATTAGTATAGTCTTTTTATGAAATGTTCAGATGTTACATTAGACAAACAAAATGATAAGGAGAGCTAAATTTTGCATCACACATAAACAAATGAATTAAGCTAGCTAGTAGACACGAAGGTTAATGTGCGATCATGGAAAATAACTTACTGCAGCTGCTGCAGCTTTTTCTTCTGCTTCTTCTGCTTTCTTACGTTTTTCAATTTCCATGTCTTCGATTTTCCTTTGGTGCTCCCTGTAACGTTCCTCAGCTTCTCGCTCTTCCTTTCGACGTTCCTTTTCAGCTAACTTGGCAGCTTTTTTGGAGCCAACTTTCTTTGAACTTTCTTTTGGATGATCTGTATCTGAAGACTGGATGTCTACATTTTCCATGACATTTCTAACACGTCTATCGTCCTCCTCAGATTCTGAAGCATCTCTCATCCGAACAGCCAAACGGCGCTGTCCACCTACATTCCCAATGCGACGACGCACTCTGCTAGCAGCAGCTGGATTTACGTGTGGGCGCTGTCCA